TGGCTTTCTTCCTCAGTAGAACCAAGGGAGTGGGTGTGATATGAAGATATTTTTGAAAAGAACAAAGTTCCATGTATATGAAAGGAAGTATTTTGGTGGGAAAAGATAAGTTAGATCACAAAACATTTTTTCCAAGAGGACAAAGTTCTGCTCACCATTTATCCCCTGACCCCTCCTAGCACTTGGAAAGGCAGAGCTTCTGCCCATCTGAGAGTCAGCTCAGCTGGATTTGCCTACAATTGCTTTCCATGGGTCTATGTATCACAATACATCATCAGTTCCTGTAGAGGGTGTGTCAGCTTCCTCCCCAGGGGTCCTCTGAACTTCAGGGTTGCTCACACTCTTCACTTGGCATCATTTGCTCTGAACAAGATGGGAAGTCAACTGTTGGTTTCTAAGCTAAAGACAATAAAGAAAAGTTCATCAACCCTAGAGGATACATTCTAATGGGGTAAAACTCCAATTCTAAAAGGAAAGCTGCTTTTCTAGGCATAAGCTCTAAGACTAAATCATCTAGGGTTATCATCCACTCAATCCGTATTTAGCCTCAACCTGGTGTGTCTAAGGGGGCATGGATATCTAGTAGAAGGCCAAGTGAAAATGGAAATGAAAACTCAAAGCCAAGCAACAATGTAGGTTGGCATCAACCCTTGGCAGTCATGAAGTGCTTCTCATGGGCATCTTGGTGTTTTCTTTTTTGCACTTATCAAGAGTTTGGCTGGGCCAAAGTATGTATAAGTTCATAAACAATTAAATTATGGAACACCAGAGATACTTTCACAAAGAAGGCCAAAACTACAGCAATACGTATGATTGTAGTATTCCTTACTCAATTCTGTCCCAAACATTTAGAGTAAGTTACCCGTACTACAGAACAGATGCTGAATATCCCTCAAAGGTCCATATGTTAAAGGCTTGGTCCCCAGAACTGCACTATGGGGAGCTGGTGGAACTTTTAAGAAGCAGGGTATAATGGGAGGTCGGTAAGTCACTAGGGGTGTGCCTTTGAAAGGGATTTTGGGATCATGGCCCCTCCCTCTTTTTCTTTCTTTTGCTTCCTAGCTACAAGGTGTGAGGTTTTGTTCTACCACCACAATGTGTTGCCTTGCCACAGGTCCGAAGCATTCAAGGCTACCAAATTATGGGTTGGAACTTCCAAAATAGAAAGCCAAAATAAACCTTTTCCCTTTATAAGTTGATGTTCTCAAGTATTTGAAATAATATTAGATGCCATCAAGCAGAAATGGAATTGGGATTGTTTTGTTCCTTTCCTCACAGAAACCTGAGGGACAGAAAATATGATGTTCAATGAGAACTCTGTGAGGCTTTCTTTCTTCAGCCCCATGCTGCTAACTCTCCAAGACAAGAACATTCTTCTATACTCACACCTCCAGCCCTGTTAGTACTCTCCCCATACCCTGGATCTCAGAACAAACTCCATCACACCATCCCTGTTTTAAGACTCTGCAACTCCTTACACAATGCTAACATGTTAACGATTTACTCCATTCTTCTGGCAGGAGTAAAACTGAAGCAACTTGAAATGCCATCAGCAAAAAATTATTTATTTGCCATCCCTGAGCAGCAGAGAAAACAGCGTCTCATTGGCTGGGTCTACTACCTTCAATAGCTTTCTGGTTTCAATTAAAACTTCAAATCTCCAAGGAAAAAACTGGTATTCTGGGAGGCCAAGGCCAGTCAAGTTCCACTGTCTCTACAGGAACTTAGAAAGGATGTCCATCCATCTAGCTAATTCTCATTTTCTTCATTTTGCAGATTATATAGACAATTCAGAGCAGATACTGAAGTACAACTAAAAATAATGACCATGTTGCAAGAACTCTCTTCTCCTAGATGTACTTTAGTGCCAGAGAAGTATTGATTCTACCCCTAATGGAATTCAAAGTTAAAATAACAGCAAAAAAGAATAGGGAATCCAGGGCAAGGGTCCTATCTATTTATGTCTTCTTCAGCTAAATCCTCCTTCCTGCCTCTCCCCACTGACCACTTTCAACTAAACTCTACAGAGATTCCAAGACTGCTTGCTCTTCTACCCAGCCTTCCCCTAGGTCAGGTGATTTGCAAAGTAACTCCTTATGAGTAATGCAGGTATATGACCAGAAGCCTTCATAGCACCAGGGCTCTTTGGCTCCTTCAGGGATTCCCCTGTGTAAAGTTCAGTCCTGGGCCTCTGAGTGGAGCCCTTTCTATGTAACATTCAGATGTTAACGTGGGAAAGATCGGATTACAACCTTTCACTGGTCTAGCCCATTCATGAACATATAAGGCAGTTGATGTTTTTTCCTGCGCTAGAAGTGGCCCCCTTCCTATGGGACATAAGCTGCCTCTCAGACATTCCTCCTTATGTTCACCCCATGCTATCCCCACCCCCACCTTGAGTTTGTTTATTCCAGTGACACATCTATTTTCCCTGCTAAGAGAGACAAGTTGGTTTCCCTCCTCTGGCTAAAGACTGCCTGTGCTCACCACCTCCTCCCCCAGCTCAGCTCAGGTTACTATAGTGGCTGCAGCTCCCACAGCCCAGCTCACCCATGAATTCAACTTCCCAAAAACACAGGACTTTTTTTCTTAATGGGACAGGAGGATCATTTACCAAACAGCACTCTGGGTACCTGGTCTCCATATCTTCTGGGACTACATTCGCTGCATTTTGCAAAAGCTCTCCACATTCAGCCCCATACTTGCTTTCTTGCTCTTCTGATTTGCATCACACACTCTGTCCTAACACTCTTTCCTGGTAACAGGTAATGAGATTAAGCACAGGCTAAAAACACAACAACTGTACCTTCACTCTAAAACCTGGAAATTCCATGTCAGAGGAAAAAGAATCACACCTCCCTCCAGGAGTTTACAGGCAGTGGAAGTCTGCAGATATCAAGAGAAAGGGGTGGGGGAGGGATTTGAGATTGTAAACTGGCTACATCTTAAAGTGCTACAAACTTTCTCCTTCCTCACAGGCCTCAGGCCAGTTGGCCCCGCCTTCCTATCCCAGCCAGACAACATCTAACTGGGGTGAGCAAGGAAATTTTCCCAGCCCAGGTCTGGTCCAGTGTGGTGCAGATGTGGCCATCACAAAACAACATTCTCCCTCTCCAACCCCTCTTCTTCACCTTCCTTCCCACAAGGCATACACAAACACCCTTTGCAAAGGAGCTGAGTTTGAATAGGACACAGGAGATTTACCTGTGTGAACTACAGGAGGGTAAGACCAAAACTGCCAGAGAGTTTTGATGACAGCTACTTTAGTTTAGTTTTCAGTGCAAATATATAAGAAATGAAGAAAAACAGGATATAATGGTGAAGGACTGAAAAGGGAAAGAAGGGAAAGGAATGTAAGAGAAAAACAAGTAATAACAGCCAAACTTTAGGGGGAAAGGTGTGGATAGTTGTGGGATAGGGGGCAGAGGGGCTGGGAAGTAAAAGGAGCTTCTGTAGATTTGTAAAATAAACTCCCTTTTGGAGAACAGATTCTGCTGGGATAAAGAGACACACAAATTACCCCTTTTCATATTAGATGTCAACCATGAGATTATCAGGGCAGTTTATTTGAAACGGAAACAAATCGGAAATCCTTCCGTCAACAGTCCTTTTAGATAGATACACAACCTGAGAATTCCGCACAGACACATAAAGAACAAATTCAGTATGGGCAGGGGGCAACAAGAATTTCCCCTCCACACTCCCAGTACCTCTAGCCTCATCTCCTACTTCCAACTGCACAACTTGCCAATCGCCAATGAAAATATTTCCAGTTGGATCCAATTTCAGAATTGTAGTAAGCGGTGTGGGTCAGGGGAGGAGGGGTAGTGGTAGTGTGTAGGGGAGGGAAGCTGGAAGACAGCATTTCGGCAGTAACTTATTTTTTTAGAACCAGCATGCTCTACCGATCAGAAATTGCAATTACCCAACAATGCTTCCATCACAAACAGACACCAAAAACAGCATCACCGTTATCACCATCTTGCTAAAGATCTGCCCAGTCCAGTTTACCTGACTTTGATTCTGAGGAACTTCTTAGGCAGTATTTTGGTCAAAGAGATATGGTTCGAAAGACAAAAACAATAAATCGATACTGAAGGGCTTCCTTTCCGGAGTGATTTCCCACTGGAAACCACCGAATGGGGAAGCCTGTCTGCCGTTAATTCCCAAGCCCAGGGCTCCTCTAGAAACGCACACAATGCGTGCTTTCAAAAGGGCATTCGTCTGCTTTTAAGGGAATTCCTGTCTTTTCAAAATCCCCAAACCGGAGAGCACAAGAAAGAGACTCAAATCCATTGATTAAGATTTTTAAGAGAAAGACTAACACACAGCCAGAATACAAGCATACACCAACCTTCGCCGGCTGGACCACTTCTTGACTGTTCTTCTCTATTAACGACATGTTAGATTCTGATACATGCCCCCCCCCAAAAAAAAATCCAACTAGGTTACAATGTAGCTCTCTAGCTCCACTTAACCTGCAAGTTACAAAGAGAGAGAGAGAGACGAAAAAAAAATATATCCTGCCGCCTTCCCACCCCTCTCTCTACCCCCTCCCCCTCCGAGTCCACTCCACCAACACCAAACCCTCCGGCCCCAGCAGCCGGCGGCAGGACCGAGGGAGGGTGCAAAAGGCGGGGGTTGGCGGAGGGGGGGGGGATCAGATTAGGCGAAACTCAATAAGCTCCCAACCCTCCAGCCCGAAGCTTTCACCATCGCGGCCACCAACGGGCCACTCCAATTAAGCCAGCATCGCTGCTAACCCTTGGGTCTGCCAGAATCGCGCCCATCCCCGAGCTGCCTCAGGGGGACCGGCATCCTGCTCCCTCGGCCCCGTCTCCCCTTCCAGCCCGGTGCAAAGTCAAAGCCCCAGCGAGGCGACGTGAACTTTTGCATGCAGGGCACACACACCGCCCCGGGCCCCGGGCGTGCGGGGGCCCGCGGTGCGACGGGAGGCTGGGCGCCGGGGCTCCCGGGCCAAGGTCGCCGCGCGTGCTCACCCATGTCCCGGCGACTCCGACTCCGCTGGCCCCAGCGCTCGCTCAGATCCTGGTTCCGGTCGCTCCCCCGAACCCCCAAAGGTGCTGCTGCGGCAACTCCATGGCGATGAGCATCTGTCAAACGGCGAGCCGCGGGGCGGGCCGCCCTCGCTCGGGGGGCGCCGGGGCCCCCAGGCGCGCGGAGGCGGCGGCGAGCGGCGGGCGCCCCGGCCGGCCCCGCGCTTCCCGCCCGACGCGGCCGCCTCCGCCGCGCCACCGATTTATGGAGAGAGATATCAAGGGGGAAAATGGCGTCTCCGGAGCCCGAGGAGTCCTGGAGTAATCACATTCACACACACACGCCCGCACGCACACACACTCGCACACACTCGCACACAGGCGCGCGGCGACCCCAGCTAATTTTAGCAGGAGCCCAAAAAAATGATATCTATGTATGTATGTATATGTATACACACACACACACACACATATATATATACATATATATGTATATATATATCCCCGTCTCTCTGTTCAATGCTATTTTTTTTCTTTTTCTTCAAAGGATGGATTGGAGCTTTAAAAAATGTTGCCGGGCTTGGGCTCGCAGGAGGCGGCGCGCGGAGGGCGAGGGCGCTTTTGCTGAGCTGTGCAGTTCAGTCCGCGGCGCCGGGCGGCCCTGCCCGCCGCTCGTCCGCCCGCGGTCGCTACTGCTGCCGCCGCCGCCGCCGCCGCTCCATGGCCGCGCCCGCCCCGCGCCCCCACCGCGTCCCCTTGCTGCCCGCCCGCGTCCCCGGTGAGCGCTGGAGTGGGGTCGGGCCCGTGTGCCTGCCTCCCGCGCCCTCTCCCGAGTCCCGGAGTCCTAGTGAAAGGAAGGAGGAGGACGCGGGCGGGGGAGGGGGAGGATTGGAGCGGCAGCGCGGCCGAGCGGAGTGGGGACCGCCACCCTGCGATCTGCCTCGGAGGGGGCGCGGGAGCTCACACTGCTTGTCCAGCCGGCCCGGGCCGCTCCCCAGGCTGGAGTCAAGAGAGGCACAGCCAGTAACATGCAATGAGTGACCTCTCCCTCCACCTCCTCGCTCTTGGTGAATTTCGGTCAATTGGACGGAGCGGGGCTCTTGCCAAGGGAGGGAGAAAACAGTTCTTGGGGACCGATCGGGGACCCCTCGCTACCATCCGCGCCTCGTGCCCCTCCCGCTCCCCAGCGCCCTTGCGGCCCAGTGGCTCCTGAGAGTCAGAGTCAGCCGCGGAGACTGAGCGGCCGCGGGGACCGCCGCGGGCTGGGCGCCGGTTCCCGGGCTCAACACTGCCACTATCTGACACAACAGGAGCAGTGTTGGGAGGGAGTTCCGCGCCGAGACGCGAGATGTGATAGGCTCTGCAAACTGGGTGCATTTTTTTTTAACCTGGTAATTACATTTCACTTTCAGGGGTTTATTTTTTTATTCTATTTTTGTTGTTGTTGTCGTTGTTATGCCACTTGTCTGCATTCGGGTGCTCATGTGCATTTTATTCTAATTTATGAGAACTGGACACTTGAGGAGAAGGACACAGAGCGATGACAAAAGCACATTGACATATATGCAGTTACCTACACAAGGCGGTGGAAATGAACAAGGTGGAATGTCATCGGTTCGAACAAAATGTGATATTTTTAATCTCTCTCAGCGTTGTGTTCGGGCTGCAAAAGGGACCTTTTGGGGGTAAGTGAGGAATGCAACCCCTCAGAGACATGAGTACGTTATAATATAGTCAGATACGGATTTAGGAAAGGTCTGCAAATAGACCTTAAAGACCTTGAGATCTGGGATTTTGAGAGAACTCCTGGCTGTCACATTCTACAGTGAGTTTGGGGACAACTGGGCTGAGGAAGGACTTAGAGGTGAGAAAGTGTCCACTCAGCAGCCACAGCACTGCTGCTTACCTGAGCTGGTTGCTGGTTTGAATTTTGTCACAGAACTGCACTTTTGCCACTCCTTTCACAAAAGTGTTGCTATGAGGTGGACTAAAGAAGGTTGGGTAGTTGGACCCCCAACTCCCACTCTGGGTCAGGATTCAGTCTGACTTTGAACAGAAAGGTCACTCTCCTTCAGACCCAAGTGCTTTCACTGCTTTTTTTTTTTTTTTTCAGAACACATCTCTGATTGACTATCAACTCTTTCTCTGTTACTCATCACTGTAAGACATCTTTTGTAGCAGAGGTTCAACAGGTCTTCTGCTATGCTTCATATTGGAGCACCAATATTGATGGAAAAGTAATGCTTATTTAGAAAAAAAAGATCCTCAGAACATGAGCTGATGATAGAAGTAGAAATCAAGGCACAAAATACAAAGTCAAATCATTCCCTATAATCAGATTGCATTTGCCCATTTGCTTGTGCATCCAGATTTCTGAATCGTAGACCAGTGTACACAGGACTATGATAGCATGTAGGCCATTTCCTACACTTTCTTAATGGAGAAAATGAGTCTCAGAAATCAGAAAAGTTTGCTTATAAGCATGGGGGTTGGGGGATGGCATCGGAACCAGAACTAAAGCTTGTTTCTCAAGTCTTTTATCTAGGTATTTTGCAGAGTCCTCCTCCTTGTGCTGCATTGCTTTGAAAGAAAATAAAAGAAGTGCATGCCATATTTTAAAATGCACTATGATAGATGGTAAGTCTCTAGAATTGTAGGGAGGTTACTTGGTGGAAGCTCATCACCTTAAAGTTGAGAACACAATGGACTGTCCCCAATCAAAATTGTGAATGGATTCCATGTCCCTTGAATCTTCCTTACCCATGGCTTATCTTTCAGTCATGAGAGATGAGAGAAAGAGTAAGAAAGGAGGGATCTTTTCACTCTTTGTTTTGTATATACCTGTATACACATGCATATAGAAAACCACATATTCTCTTTGTACATATTTTAATGTATAACAACATAGTAAAAATGTAATAACCTTTTGCTATACAATAAATCAAAGATTCCTAAAAGCTAATACCCTACTCCTGAATTGTATGTCTGTTAATAAAATAAACCAGATTTGGTGGCACAGGCCTGTAATCCCAGCATTCAGGAGATGGAGGCAAGAGGATCTGGGTTACATAGTGAGTTCAAGACCAGCTTGGGCTACAGAGCAAGACCCTCTCTAAATTAAAAAACAAACAAACAAACAAAAAAACACTAACTGAATGTCATGGGACTTCTTCTCTTCTTTCTCTAATAGACTACTTTTTGGTTGTCTGAGAACCAAACCCTAAAACACAGAAGAAGTTGGGCTGACAAGAGTGCTATGCTTTTTTTTTTTTTTTCTGATATACTAGGAGTTGAACGCAGGACTTCCTGCGTGCTAAGCAGGGTCTATACCACTTGAGCTATGCCTCTTCCCAGTGCTGTTCCTTTTAAAGGTTTCTATTTACTGGGTCCCAGGACATTGAGTAAATAAAGGGGGATTTGAATCCTTGCTAGAATATACAGGACATACACCCCTATGTCAGGATCATGTAGTCACTCAGTAAATTATTTTGTAGCATAGATGGTGCACAGGGTACTGGAGCAGCAATTAGAGATGCAAATATGACCAAGAAGTGCTGCACATTTATTGCTTATGTATGTTGAACATTCACCTTTCCTTTCTCCTTTTGCATGTATGTATCTCTTTTTCTTATAATCAGTTTTTTTTCAACCAAATATAAATTCTTTGAGGAAGGAGCTGAGATCTGCATGGACGTTGTCGATAAATGTGGGTAAGAAGGAATGTTTCTCTGACATCACCAAATAGCTGACTTGCTGCCAGCGGGGCTATTTCTCTGTGCCCTGAGCATCTATGTGGTTTACCTGTAAAGTGGCCATAATATCCACCTTGCTCCAAACTCTATGCCAGAGACAATGCAAGGATCTACAATAGACATGAGGACTTGAGGTATATATTCAAATTAGTGTAAACATTAAGGTATAAGAGTAGGTCATGTCATTTGTTACTTTCCAAAGCTAAAGATTGAAAAGAACTTCTTCCTTTATAAAAAGTTGAGACCAAGTCATGTGATCAAATGTTCAGAAGAAGTCACCTCCTCTTCCCGGGTTCAAATATTATATTGATTCTCACCTTTGAAGAAAATGAGGTAGTATTCTCTAGTGTGCTTCTAAGCAGTTATTATAAATCAGAATTAGCTGGAGTGATTACTGATCCATCTTGATTTTATCAATCTTGGTTAGATTTAGAATTAGTATTTTTAATAAATGTCCCAGGTATGTAATCAGCATTGAGAATCACTAATTCAGTTAGAGGAGATTCCCACACAAAGTGACTGCTTATGAGCCTCCTAATGTGAAGTTGGTAGCATTAACGGAGGTGATAGGTGCAATGAACTGTGGAATGACTGTGCCATATTTTAGAGCTCAGGAACAATTCTGGAAGTGTAGAAACTAGAATCATGTTCCATGCTTCAATGAAAAGACCACATGACAGATCATTAAGGAGACTTAGTTTTAAGCTTATTTGGCAAGTCCCTTCATCTCTCTACTCAGATTCTACCTCTGCAAAAAAGAGAAAAGGGCTGGGAAGTATCTTGCTTGCCTAGTATGCAAAGGCCTTGACTTGATCCCCAGCCCCAAAAGATAGATAGATGATATAGATAGATAGATAGATAGATAGATAGATAGACAGACAGATAGAAGGACAGATTCTAAAGTCTTCTGAGAACCAGGCCAGCTAAAGAAGTCCCTTTATCTTTGATTCAGGGTCACAAATGAGTCCCAAAAAGAGAGATCACATTGAGAACAATCAGAAGAACATATGAAAGTTGTCCTTAAATGTAAGAAAAGCATTGGGGAAAATAAAGATCTGTTAGTTTGTTTGTTGGCTCTGCCCTGGGGATCATAACAACCCCGAATCAGTTGAGTTATGGAGGAACAGATCTCAGATCACTATAATGGAAAAAACTGTCCTACTTAAAATGAGATCATATCACCTTACATAGTAATAATCTGCTTCAGTAAGGATAAAACTGTACCTGGAGCTGAAAATATAGCCAATAAATATTTGTTAAATGTCCAAGGTATTTAACAACCAATATGACATGGACCCAATTCATCAGAAGGGCCATTGACACATGGCTCTGCCTACCCAGGTGATACCCAGTTAGTTGTTGGATCCAATGGAGGTTCATTAGGGACAGAGTGACAGAGAAGCATGGGGGTGAGTTTGTAACAGCAGTTATTTAAAAATTCCAGTATTTTAGGAGCAGCATGCCTACCTGTGCATATTGGATGAACATATGTCCTGCACCATGAAAGAGTGAATGAATGAGAATGAATGAGTTGATCAGTCAATCAAGGATTCCAATGAAGAGATCAAAAATGATAGAATTGAACTCTTCTCCTGCTCTGATGATAACTAAGTGAAGTTCAATTCTCTTTACTTCAATTTTGTCATCTATAAACTGAGAACCATAGTTTTGCCCTAAGGCTTCAATCATCATGAGACACACAGGAAATATCAGATATAAAGTAACAATATGAAGTCAAATAAGTCTGTTCAAATACTGGCTTTAATTATTAAAATATGATGTGGATTATTTAAATGTATCTTCCAGATGCAGCCTAATTCTACCACTACCTTCTCTTTCTAGGAAGTGAGCAAGTAATTCCTATTTCTGCTGTCTCCCACCTGGCCCCACTTTGGAAGGGCCTTCTTTCTCCAATTCCTTTTTCTGATGCTACTGTGGTTGCTGAGCCTCAAGGAGCAGAATGTAATTGTCTTAGAAAGGGAGTTCCAGGTCAAATAATGACTGGATTATAGCTTCAGAATCCATGCCTTCCTAGCTCTAGAAATTCATTTTAAAGAGCTTTCTTGGCATGTGGTTCCTTGAGAGGATCCTCTAAGAGAGTGGCTTTTGCTATGTGAAAGGCAGCAAGGTCAGAGAGGAGCATTCTTTTGGGTTTTCATTTGCTGGTTCCTTGACAGATTTATTGTCATGGTGACTTCAGAGTGTCCCAAAATCCACAGCAAGATTTGAAGTAGTCCCAATTCCTAGTTGAAACTTAGAAGCACAGCTATTAAGAAGTATATGTTTAAATCACTGTATGACACAGGAGCCTAAAGGAAAACTGAGATGATAACCACAGGAAAGTGGAGGCTCTTCTTCCTCCCTAAAAGTCCCCTACATATGGGCCAATGTAGAGAAAATAATGCACAGAAAGTTGTTGTATGGATGGTTGGTTTCAGTAGAGGGAAATTCA